AAAGATCTTGGGAGAACAAAATTCTGTCTTGGTCTTCAAATTGACCATTTGAAAGACGGAATATTCATCCACCAGTCAAATTACACGAAGAAGGTTCTGAAGCGGTTTTATATGGATAAAGCACATCCTCTCACATCCCCGATGGTTGTTCGCTCTCTTAATGTACATGATGACCCGTTCCGACCTCGTGAAGATGATGAAGAAATACTCGATCCAGAAATACCATACTTGAGTGCTATATCTAGCAAACAACACTCGGCCAGATATTGCATTCTCAGTGAACTTGTTAGCCAGACACAGCTCGACCCCGACTAGGAGGCATTGGAATGGCATTAAACACGTTTTGCGATATCTCAATGGTACCATCAACCTTGGTTTATTCTACCGCAAAGATGCCAAGGCCACTCTTGTTGGATACGCTGATGCAGGATATTTGTCTGATCCACAAAAAGCAAAATCTCAAACAGGATATGTGTTTACTTATGGAGATACCGCAATATCATGGAGATCGATGAAACAAACTTTGACTGCCACATCATCAAATCACGCGAAGTTGATAGCTCTCTACGAAACAGGTAGAGAATGTGTATGGTTGCGATAAATGATCCAACATATCCAGAGTGGGTGCGGTATAGAAACAATTACTAGTCATCCGACTCCTATATATGAAGACAATACTGCATGCATTGCTCAAGTGAAAGGAGGTTACATCAAAGGAGACCGAACAAAGCATATATCACCAAAGTTCTTCTCAACACATGATCTCAAGAAAGATGGAAAAGTTGACATCAAGCAAATCAAGTCTAGTGAGAATCTCGCTGATTTATTTACAAAAGCGTTACCCCCGAAGAAATTTGAAGAACTCGTACACAAGATTGGCATGCGTCGCCTCCGTCAATTATGCTAAGCTGAGGGGGAGAATTTTATGAACTGTACTCTTTTTCCCTTGATCAGGTTTTTATCCCACTGAGTTTTTCCTAACAAGGTTTTTAACGAGGCAGTACATAAAATTAGAATGGGTTACTAAACTATGTCCATTTCACGAAGTACTCATCATTAATTGAAAAATAAACATTCAAGGGGGAGTGTTATGAAATTAATGATTGTTCATTTATTCAATTAATCAGGACTAATTTCTAGAATAGTAGATTAAGACACTCATTGATGAGTATCAATTATGTACAGTACTTCCCACTTGTATTTGTATCCATACCAAGGCTCTCCACTATAAATAGAGGCCTAATCCCTGCATTGTAATCATCATTAAGAATAAGAAGAAGAGTGAAGAATTAATAGAGAGAAGAAATCAGAAATATATTATATCTATTCTCATAATCTCTGAGTAGTTTTTCTCTCATTTTATAACAGTTTATAGTTAAATGAATTTTTTTGTCCTTAAAACACATAGAAAGGATATTAG